TGCGACGTTTCGTATTCGTGGAACCATCATCAACTTTTGTTTTTTGAATACGGTCCTGATAATTTTTTCACAGATTCTGAAAGGTTTTTTCATTTTGAATTCAACCATGTACTATACAAGGTGATTCGAATGTGTTTCGACCTATTTCTATCCATCATCAATGTTTTTTCGAACTTCCAAAGAAAAAAAAACAATCAGTTCCACTTATTTCTGATCATTTAGTGTCAAACTTGATGAATTCTTACACGAATTACTTCAACAACTTAACTTTGACAATACCTACAGAGACATTCATAACAAATGTTCAAAATGATAACCATTATTTTCTGAACAGAGATATGCTCTTCTCACAGTTGCTTCTAAGACATTGCTAAGCATTTTTGGGGTTATTCTATTGAATGCTTCGAAGACACTGTCCCTTAGTTCTTCTTCATCATCAAAGTTATTCGCGTGTTCAAAGTTCGATATATCCCCTAAGAAATCCAGCTGTGTCAAATCAGGCGACCGCGCCGGCCAAGGGATAAAAACTCACCGACTTCTCTGGAATTATGTACCGGAGCGCCATCTTGTTGAAACCAACAGTTTTGAACTTCCGCAATCGGTAAATCATCCAGAGCTTCCTCAAGATGATTCTCAAGCGAATTTCTATAACGTTCGGAAGTCTGTGTTTCATGGTAAATAGAAGGAACAATAATTCGTGTACCAAATATTGCAACCCACATATTAAAGCCAAAACGGTGTTGGTGTCTCGCTGTAATGTATAAATGTTCATTTTCTCGTGAACAATAATGTGTATTGTTTCTATCGAAGCTACCATGATTAGGGACCATGCTTTCATCAGTCCAGATGATTGTTCGAGGAAAATCTGCAAAATTTTAACATTTTCTGGTATACCACTCACAGAATGTCTTGCGCCTTTCGTCTTCGCCTGGTTTAAGCGCTTGACATATTCTGAATTTTTATGGACGGAATTTTTGTTTCCGCAAAATGAAATGGGTTGTTGATTGAAACCAGTTTATAAGGTATTAGTGTGTTGACTAATTTTTCTTCAAAATAAGTGGAACTGATGGCATTTTTCTTTGGAATTTCGAAAAAACATTGATGATGGCTGAAAATAGGTCGAAACACACATAAACCACTTTGTATGATACATGGTTTAATTCAGAATAAAAAAACTTTTCAGAATCTGTGAAAAAATTATCAGGACCGTATTCAAAAAACGAAAGTTGATGATGGTTCCACGAATACGAAACGTCGCATAGAAAAATTGGTATCACAACGTTGAACGTCATAAAAAATGGCTATGAAAAAGTATTCTCAGTTTTGCTGTATCTCTAATAATAACGGAGAAAAAAAAATAAAATAGATATTCCAAAAATTCACTTTTTTCGATATAACTCAAAAACTAAAAATAATTTTCAAAATTTTCGAAGGCTCTTGATATGAGCCTCCAAATGCGCAACTTTTTCCCCATTTAACCGACTTCGTATTTCTTACCGTTTTCGAGATCCCCATGCTGTTCAACCTTATCTTGGACAGACTGTATATAGCACGTGGTCACCGAACATAACATGCAGTGCACTGTTAAATACCAGAATGTTTGATGTGTATTTTTGACTTTTTTTTCAATATAAAATATAAATAAATAAATTTATTAAATCCTTCATGATCAAAAAATAATACCTTATAATTATAGCCGAGTAAAATAACTATAGAAGTTTTCCACTAATCGATATTTCTTTGTGCTTATATATTCAACAGTATAAAATGTTATTTTGGTTTTGAAATCTATGATCTGCATGCTGATAATAATCACACTGTAGATATCCTTGTTTATGAAATTCATATTTCCACTCCAAAGAGCATTTTATGTGAACCAGTTCTCCTTTGTAAGAAATCAAGAGGATGCTAAGCTAGACGAAATAGTTTTGCTCCAGCTGAAGAGAAGTAAAGACTGGAGATCTATGCTAGAAGTTGACTATAGTTTCCTATAGTCGAGTTTATTCCATTGATGTAAAATTTCAGGAAATTCCCGAATCAAGACTGAATTTGATTCAACAAAACAATTTGTCGAACTGAAATACAGTTTCTCTTGAATCAACGAAATAATACATTGAATCAACCAAAAATTTGTTTTAATCAACCAAATATTCATTGAATCAACTAATTATATGATTGAAACAATATCTTGTTATTTTGAATCGAACAAAATGATTGTTTGAGCCAATTCAATATTTCTTCATAAACAATTCATGGATGTGCTTGATTGAATAAGACCCAGAGTTCATGCAAGACATATTTACTTGATTCAAACTTCAGATTCGCTCACAAGCAAGATATAGATTAACTCATTTCAAGATTATATTTTGTCGTGCATATATATGACACTTATATTTGCTCAATTCAATTGAATTTTGATTGATTCAACAATTCCTTTTTTTGTGTATATATATTGTTTGATATGATAACGACGAAATCCTTCAGATTTACCGACATAATTCAGCTTCCTCATTGATTTGAATGAAGGTATTTATAATTAGGCTTGTTTCAACTAGTTTATAAATCAATAAGGATTTGATGGAAATGTATGCGGAAAAATGTTAGAAAGCATTTCTAGACAATGCGAAGGAAGAATCGAAATATTTACTATTGTATCTGATTGGAACAGTTCTCCTTTGTAAGAAATCAAGAGTTTCAGTGTTTCAGTTTGAAAGAAAATCATTTTCAAAAATATTCTCAAAAATCGTAATTACTCTGAAACAGTTGAAAATAGTAATGAATTACCTTATATATTTCATGGTTTATATCAGAGTAATATGTAGAATGAATAATGAAAAAAAAAGTGGTGTTCTATTGGAAATAAGGGAATTCTATTTACTTCCCGTATTCGTAAGTGCGCTATGCCAGATTCATCCTCGGATTTACCCAAAAATTTACAGAGTTTTATTCAACTAAGCATAATATTGAAAATGAATGGGTTACCTAAATGAACGTGAAATCATAAAATTCAGTAATATATCATTATTATTTCATTACAATTTTATCGGTCTTTTTTTCCTGGTTATACAAAGTGTAATTCAATTGATGGTTAGAAATATAGGATGTAGACATTTTGAGAAAAGTTCATATGAACATAATATATGCCCTGAACCTCTTAACTTTGAAGCAATAGGGTGTTGAAATTTTAAGAAAAAAAATTCTTATAGTAACTTTGATACTGTTCTAGATATTCTCATAAAATTTGACATGCGCACCTACTAAGCACTGATGGCCAGTTCGTGTCCGTATGGGATGTAAATACTGGAGATTTTTCTAAAAAATAAATGAAATTCTCATTAGGTTTAGGGAATATGTTCATATCAACTTTTCTTCTCAAAATGAGCTGAGGAACCATGTCCTATATTTTTAGCCATAAATTGAATTACACCCTGTATAGTTTTGAAATTAAATCCCTTTATTCCAAGATTGGATTCTAGTTATAATTAATTATATTATATCGTTCTCAACAAAACTGAATCAAAGTGAAGCAGTCCAGATAAATTCCTATTTATTTCATTGTAGTTGCCAAAGAAGAACTCTGTCATTGTTATTTTCCACGTTCGAATAATTATTATTATAACACCTCTAGGTATACCGCTGGGTATACCCTCTAATACCTTTACAGCGCGAAGCAGGTCATAAAATGCTAATAAGGGAAACGGTTCGTTCCTAGGAAATGAATAGTACATGTGCATAGACAAAAATATTTCAATTCGACCAAGAGTCGTTACTTTTAATTTGAGCACCACTGTACATACAATTCAAAGCATCCAATGATAATCCATATTTCTACACACGTTTGGAATTGAAATGGACCCAAAATGGACGTCCAATGGAGGATGTCCTGTGCTGTGTGGGAACCTATTGGCGATTCAATGTCGATTGGAATAATATAGAGAAGCAACACTTGTCTACTAGTTTCTTCAATGTAGGGAAAATACTTGAGGTGATGATAATCGGAACATGACGCTTCTAGACTGTTCTAGACGACACCATCATTCATAAAACGTGAAAATATAAATTTTATTTGTTATACTTCACCATGGAACATAGAACGCATAAAACATTAAGTTAGAGTATGGTTACGGAATGTTTCATCTTGACCTTCCAACACGTAAAATACTCCTAACATGATTGAATTGTCAATTCAACCCCTCTAGCATGAACCATGTCATTCAAGAATTTGGCAGGGTTTGATTCATTGAAAGAGGCATAGGGGCGTGCTTAATTCTTTGAAATGACCAAGTTGAATTTAATTGATGAATGTCGTCGCCTTTGAATCTTACTGTATACAAAGCATTCCAGTGCTCTCAGGCTGAAAGATATCAAGTTATTTCACTAGCAAAAAAAAATAAAAAAAATGGTGGCATATCTTATACCGAAAGCTCCCCAAAGCATTCCTAAATTCATCGACTATATGTTATGGTCGATATTTCCTTCCCATACATTATACATACTATATAAAGGTAGGTGTTTTCGATGTGATGCAGACATTTTCAACAATTATTCCATAATAAATTGTTACCTTTCAATCAAAGTTATTGCATAATTTCAAAATTTCAACGCATGAATTTTCATTGTAATATTTAGTGAAATTATATAATTCATGGAAAAGACGACGTGTCAGATGTATGTTATGTTGAGGTTATTGAAACTTGAAAGTACCTTATTGTAATGCAATGATATTGGATACATGTGTCAGAAACGGCATTCAAAACATAATCGATATATAAAACATATATGTATACCATGCACATATTTTGATACATCATTTTCTCTTGACATATCACAGAATCAATCGACAAACGAGTAACCGACAAGTATTTTGAATTTTCATAGATCTATCAGCAAAATGAAATCAACATGTAAAGTACATGTTTCAGTTTGCCGTATGTTGGTTGGGATGCATTTTGAGATGCATTTCTCAAGTTTTGAGGATACTATCCAATTTTATATTACAGGAATCTTACTTTACATGGTGTTTTGGAGTAACAGAAGCAGGCTGTTATGGCATAATCAATGTGACAACAGGAGAAGCATCACTGTTTGTTCCTCGATACCCAGACGAGTACGCAGTTTGGATGGGACCTTTGAAACCTTTAGAGGAATTCAAAAATAAATATGGGGTTCATCATGTGTATTACGTTGATCAGGTTAGATATATTCGAGGAAATTGAATTGTTCCCCACTTTTGATTTATTTATTTTGTTCCAGATGAATGAGATTCTAGAAAAAATCAATAGGAAATTAGTGCTGACTCTGGTTAGTTGAAAACATGTTCAAGTGAGAGTATATGGTTCATGGACTCATATTTCATTAACATTCAGAAAAAATACACTTGACTTATTTGTTTTCAGAAAGGTCAAAACACTGACAGTGGACTAACAGCAATAGAAGCAACTTATGATGGCATTGAGAAGTGAGTTTGTAGAATTGATCATTCAGATGAGTCAGTAAATCATCATTCGTTCTGAATTTTCAGGTTTCAAGTTGACAACAAGACACTATTCCCAATAATCGCTAATCTGTGAGTTCCAGAATTTATATTATCTAATGTATCATATGCTGACTGAGCTATTGTGAAACAGGGTTCAATTGGCAGTCCTAACTTTTTATGCATCTATTCCCGTATCTCGATTTCATTTTGGACTTTCTTGTTTAGACTATTGACGCTGAGGGAGTTTTGACTCGTTAGAATCGGCAGGAGACATTTCTCCCACTCATTCAGCGGAAAAAAGTATCTTGAAGGATATGAATATACAGATTGTTTGCCGAATCGTTTCATATAGGCCATGTGAATGACAATATGATTCGGCTATCGAACGTATCCGCCAGTCTCCGCTGGATAATCGGAACAGAATTGATACTGAAATTCATTATGCTGTCTAACGGTGAGCGTTGCTCTCCGATCCTATGCCCAATGCCATCCTTTCTTGATACTCCTATGAGAAACAATCTGTATACTTCTCTTTTATAATCGAATAAAAGAAGGCAGGCGTTTCAACATCTTGTTTCACCGTCCTGAAACTGATATTATGTTTGGAACAAGAAAGTTCATAATGAAAGCGACCAACTAATCAGGGTGTATTCTAAGTACGCGTAGAAAATTTAGGAGAATGTTGCTGACGTCAAAATGAGAAAAGTTTTTCTAAATATGAGGGAATTTTGTTGAACCCTGTATATATTTGTATATTTTTGATTAAACGGCTTCTTCTTGGGGTTTGGGTTCAGGTGAGTGATTACAAGAGATTGAGTGATAAAAACGTTTCGCTCATGGCCATGGTCTTTGTCAATTCAATGGAACATCATCTGTGAATGGTTCACATTGAGACATTGTAACATATATCTAATTTCATGCCTAATAATTATAAGTGGCCAAGTCTTTTCTACCTATATAGATATATACAAAGGGTGTCCGCTAAAAGAAGGTCAATCCATTAACCATATGTTACGACCTGAACGAGCAGGAGTACGAAATCCTTAGATGAAAACATGTTGATGTCATTTTAGTAGTATATTCAATAAACGCATTTTTGAAGATTTCGCGTTTTAACAATTCAGAAGTGAGGATAATATGTGCCCAGTGTATTTGTGAAGTGGCGGAAGGCGATATTGACGGAAGTTTCTATGTTGTGGCGTGTAGTGTAACTTGAAAATTCCCCGAGACAAAGGACAAAGGAGATTGCAGTTGTGAGGCGATTTTACTGCAAAATAGATAGCCACGCGGGTTAAGTTTATTTTGTGTAGTGCATTGACGGACTTTTGGAAACTGTAAGTACACGATTCATTTTATTTCCAACGAAAACTCACTGGGGCAGAGCGATAGACGAACTCGTGTTGAATCAGAGCTTTGGGTATTTTCTGCTGTACGATACGGCGTTCAGCTTATTTGGTAAAACTGGTAATAATGTTCGTATCTTACGAGAAAACATCAGTTATTCAGGACTAAATCCACATTCTAAGGGAGTTGATCGATACGACATTAAAGCAATATTGATATCATCATTTTTTTTTAGTAATGACTTTGCAATTTTTACAGCTGCCTCCATACAACCATTCGATTGAGAGAAGTAAGGACTACTAGTAACATGTTGAAAATTATAATCATTTGAAAATTTTTTGAAAGTCGCTCGAAATTGTGGGCCATTGTCTGATCATACAATCTCAGGTATACCAAACCTTGCAAATATTTCCTTCAATTTCTGAATAACTACTTGTTCGGTCATACTCGACAAAGGAACAATCTCAAACAATTTTGAATAATAATCAGTTATAATTAAATACCAAATGTTATACTTGAAAAGATCAACTGCCACCTTCTGCCATGGTCTTGGTGGAATCGTATCTTTAACAAAGGTTTCCTTTATATTTGTTCTTTCCTCAATACATTTTGAACAAGAACGTACCAGATTTTCTATATCTGAAGAAAGACCAACCCACCAAACAGACATTTTCGCACGTTCACGACATTTTGAAATACCTTGATGACCTGAATGAATGTAATCAAGAGTTTCTTGTTGTAGACTCGGTGGAATAATAATTCTACTTCCTTTGAGGAGAAGATCTTCAAAACACGAAATATCATATCTATATTGATAATATGGGATTAAATTGGGCAACAATTTGTGTTTTTCAGGCCAACAAAAATTATCAGTTATAGGGAGATGTTGAACAATCATCCTAACATGAGCCTCAGATTCAGCAGATAGTTCTTCAAATTCAGAATTTACTGTAAGAGGACTTCTAGATAGAGCATCTGCGACTTTCAAATCGTTCCCCGGAGTATACATCACTTGATAATTGTACCTCATAAGTCGGATACGGAATCTCTGAAGTCGAGGTATGAGATCATCTAAATTTTTAGTTTGCAGAATTTGCAATAACGGTTTGTGATCAGTTTCTAAAACAAATTGTATGCCGATCAAATACTCTTTGAATTTCTCACATGACCAAGTTGAACTCAAAGCTTCACGTTCTATTTGAGCATAACGTGTTTCAGTTTGTGAAAGTGTACGAGAGGCATACGCTATCAATTCACGTTGATTTTCTTCGTTAATTTGCATAAGGGCCCCACCAAGACCATATGAAGAAGCATCGGCACTGACAACAATTTTTTTACTAGGATCATAATAAGCTAGACATGGTGCTTGAGAAAGTAACATTTTGATTTTATTGAAGGAATCATTCTGAGGACTATCCCATATGAAAGTAACGTCATTTTTCAAGAGAGAAGTTAATGGTTCTAAAATTTCTGATTTATTGGGAATAAAACGACCAGCAAAATTTATCATTCCAAGTAATTGTTGTAATTCTTTTTTATTTGATGGACGTGGAAACTTGACTATTGCTTCTACACGAGAAGGATCAATTTGTATTCCCGAAGAAGACACAATGTGGCCTAAAAATTTTACACTTTCAACCCCAATAACACACTTGGATTTATTAAGAGTAATGCCTTCAGAGTGAAGCCTGGATAGTACATCTCGTAAAATAGAATCATGTTCTTGAATCGTAGTGGAATGAATAAGAATATCATCGACATGAATTATGAAACCCTTCACACCTGAAAATAATCTAGAACATTTTTCACTGAAATATTCAGGTGCACAGGAAATGCCAAAAGGAAGTATTTTGAACATATATCTTCCGAATGGAGCTATAAAAGTTGTGAATGGCTGAGACTCTACAGATAATTTTATTTGATAAAATCCTGAACAGGCATCTAACTTTGAGAATACTTTTGAGCCTTTTAGCATAGCCAATGAAGTTTCCACTTTTGGAATTGGGAAATGACACCTCAAAACATTTTTGTTTAGTGCAGTATAATCACAACAAAGACGCACAGAATCTCCTTTAGAAACTACAACTATTGGAGCTACCCATGTAGTAGCTTCAGAAACTGGTACTATTATATCCAAATTCAAGAGTCTATTTATTTCTTCCTCAAGCTTGTCCATAAGAGGAATAGGAACTGTTCTAGGTGTAGACTGAACAAAAGGTTTCGCACTAGACTTAACCTGTATACACATTTCATCCTTAAATGTTCCGATTTCTTTAAATATATTTGGGAATTCTTGGGAGATGTTCACAGACGATTCAATAGAACAAACGGTATTCAACAATGAATATGAAAATCTTCCATCAACAACCTGAAATATTCCAAGATTTGTTATACCTGGTCGACCGAGAATGGCAGTTTTCAGGTCATTCAATACATAAGTCATGCATTTATACGATTGTTTCTCAGTAGGGTAGGTGAGACAAATACTTATTTTACCAAAAAGTTTGAGAGGTTGTCCATCCGGACCCGATACAGTATCGTTACAAGGTATAACAGATGCCAATTTGGTTTTATCAAGTATTTTTTTGGAATACATACTATATCGGCTCCAGTATCAATCAAAAATGGAACACTCTCTTTGAAATTACTGTTGATAAATAAATTCACCATCCATTGATTTTTATCATTGACAAAAATATTAGAAAGGTAATAATCATCACCAAAACTAAAATCACCCTGTTTACTAGAGGAACTTGCTTATCTTGCTATGATTTCAGAACGTTCGTCAAATTGACGGTCGTCAGAATTTCTATTGACAGCTCCTTGGTCATCTCGTAGAATTTCTTCATTGTTGACGTGTTCAACCAAACCAAAAAACTTCTTTTTCCCTTTACATACTCGATCCCATCAATGCCCTTTCTTGGAACATGATCTACAAACAGCATTTTTTGCAGGACACACTTCTCTTGCATGTTTCTTGAAACCGCAGAACTCGCAATTCTCCCCTGAAGATTTCATGAAGGTATTTCGGCTATGACTAGCCGCTGAATTATTCTTATAACTCGAAGATACTGCATTCACCAATATTTTGTCTTGCTTCAGAATACTGCTTTGTTGATTTTGGATTTCTGCTTGCTTAGCATGAAGTACAGCATCAGCTAGCGTTAAATTTGAAATTAACTGCATTTTCTCGCTGCATCTCTTATCGGACATCCCGACAACGATTTTGTCTCGTATAAGTTCTTCCTTCAACATTCCGTATTCACAATATTCTGCCAAAGTATGCAAGGTTGTTATATAAGAATTTATACTCTCACCTGGAAGCTGCACACGAGAATTGAACTGAAATCGTTCGAAGATGATGTTTCTGCGTGGAATGAAATGATTCGCAAAGGCTTTGAGAAAATCTTCATATTTATTGGGTATTTCTGGAAATTGAATAATGATCTCTTCACTATGCTCTCCCATGATGTAGAGTAGAATATTGATTTTCTCATCATCTGGTTTCATGAGTTGACCAGATACACTCATATATCGCTCGAACCTTTTCTGCCATTGGGGCCAAGATGCAGGATTATTGAAGTTGAATTGTTCAGGAGGAGTTATATTTGCTAATACCTGGACTGAAGGAGCAGACATTGTTTCACTTTCGGAATCTGGCATGGAGCTATAGATATACTCGGGATGATATTATTCAACCACCGCTGCCACCATCAAGTATTATGGATGAATGAGTCGAATACTAA